TCATCATAATCCGCTCTGCTCATCATAGTCCACTCATCACAGTCCACACCGCTCATCATAATCCGCTCTGCTCATCATAGTCCACTCATCACAGTCCACACCGCTCATCATAATCCGCTCTGCTCATCATAGTCCACTCATCACAGTCCACAACGCTCATCATAATCCGCTCTGCTCATCATAGTCCACTCATCACAGTCCACACCGCTCATCATAATCTGCTCTGCTAATCATAGTCCACTCATCACAGTCCACATCGCTCATCATAATCTGATCTGCTCATCATAGTCCACTCATCACAGTCCACAACGCTCATCATAATCCGCTCTGCTCATCATAGTCCACTCATCACAGTCCACACCGCTCATTATAATCTGCTCTGCTCATCATAGTCCACTCATCACAGTCCACACCGCTCATCACATATGGCAACCTGCCTTGTGCCATCACATATGGCAACCTGCCTTGCGCCATCAGATATGGCAACCTGCCTTGCGCCATCAGATATGGCAACCCGCCTTGTGCCATCAGATATGGCAACCCGCCTTGCGCCATCAGATATGGCAACCTGCCTTGTTCCATCAGATATGACAACCTGCCTTGTGCCATCACATATGGCAACCTGCCTTGTGCCATCACATATGGCAACCAAATCAGAGGGGCACACATGTGTTGTGTTATGAAAATGCTGACTTCAGCTAGAAAGATGTCTCTTTGGGCCCCTTACGTCAACTGCAATTTGCCATTGGTCAGCTAGGCCTCCTATGGTATTAAGCAGCCAATCAGGTGAGGGAGGCAGTGGCCACAGTCCTGACATGCTTGCTGTATTTGGAATTGGAATACTTGACCGCTCCGGGGTTCCTGGGTGCTGTGCAGGCTGACACATCTCAGAGTCCGCATGTCACCTATAATAGCAGCTTGTAAACATTAAGGGCCCATTGACACCACGCCCATTGCTCAACACAGGCCCGATGCAATGACAAGCTGACAGGTGTTACAAATTCCAAAACGAAAAAACAGTTTTGGCTTCAGTTTAAGGGTAATTCCACTCCCAGGTGAATTTGGGTAAATGGAATTACCGTCCGTCACCAATCTGCCCCCTCCCCCCCCCCCCTGGTGCTGCCCTTATTTTAACTGA